AGGCCTGCAAGAAACAGTTTGAATTTGTGGCGGCCCAGAGGATCAGGAGGTACATACAGATATTCCACCTCTATACGAGGATATGGGATGAGGTAGCACTGAGAGAATTCATGCGGCTGTGGAGACTTAGACTTGCTAAGAATGCCAAAAATTTCCTGATAAGCGCTGCTGGAGTAAGCATGTACAACTGGGATCGCGACAGAATAAGTGATGAAGAAATTAATAGGTACTTGCTATGAACGTTTGTAAGAACAAGATATATGTAATATTCTTATATAATAAATCCTTTTTGACATTCTATATCGCAGGTATAATCGTGAGATCGAAGGAATTTATAGATTACGAGACTCTACAGTAATTTGTACAAAGTGTCATTTACGAATTATTATTGATACTGCACAGCCTGATATAAAATATTGTAAATGTAGTAGAGTTCAGCCTTTTGATGCTCCTAATGAAAATTGTAAGTTTTTCTTATATCAGCTATTCAACTATGAAACATTTTGTTATATACATAAATATATTGGATTTTATATTATATATTGTTTAAGTATGTCAAATTTTTCTGTGTAATGTATAAAATATGTACAGCAGATGGTTGGCAACCTTTCATTGAGCGTCAGGATATGTTAATATGGAGGAAAGTAGAACCTGATTCGGGTGGATTATTTGCCTATAAAGTATATGGTTCATTCTCCGATGTTAGCGCTGAAGATTTTTTACAAGTACAAATTGATGTAGATTATAGAAAGCAATGGGATCCCACTGCTCAGGAGTTACAGATTATTGAGACCGATCCAAAGTCCAATCCGTCTGTTAATCATAGCACTGATGTTATCCATTGGGAAATGATCTGGCCTGTAAGTGTGATGTGCCATTTTTTAAATGAATCTATCCACTTAATGATTCGTTAATTTGTATTTGTGCAGAAATTATTTTCTAATAGAGATTATGTGTATCAACGACGATGGATTATGGATAGAGAAAAAGGACTTGTAGTTATTGTCAGTCGAGTGACGGAACATCCTAATGTACCAGAAAAGCGAGGAATTTATAGGTAAAGAAGTCAGCATTAACAGTCAATATTTAAACATTCATATAAAATATATATGTGTATGAAAAATTTAAATTAATTGATCAATTCTTTAATTTCTAATTTTTTAGTATTACATTTTGTTAATAAAACTTTTTTTTTGAGTAATTAAGGCTGAGTAGTTACCACAACCATATTGAATTGTAATCTTAGGAGCGAGAAATGACACATTAATTTTTATTAAGTACATGTTATTTGTAAATAAAGACAATTTAGATAAAGACAATTAAAATAAAATGATGAGATTGTTTTAAAACAATTATAAAAATAGACAAAAGATATCCTTATCCCTCCTAACAGCCAGTAAATAATTGTAAAAAGTGATAAAAGATACACGAAGTGCTTATCTAACGCACATGTGTAACCTATTTTCACTTATATATGCCTTTTATCCAGTTTTATAAACATTTTAAAACGATCTCATTATTTTATTTTATTCAAATTGTATTTATTTATAAACAGCACATAACAAAAATTAATATGTCATTTCTCACTTCTGATGTGTCAAGATTCAATATGACTGTGGTTAGAAGCTTTAATTTAATAACTGAACATTTAAGCTATCGAAATTAAATATTCCAATAAAAGAGAGAGAGAGAGAGAGAGAGAGAGAGAGAGAGAGATTTATTCTTCTTTGTTTAACAAGCCTACAAAAAAAAGTACTCTGTGCTGGAGTGGAGACCCAGCTATTCTTATGTATTTTGAGTCGCTGAATACAAATCTGACATCAAAATAGGATCATCCAAGATAAATTTTTAGTTTAAATCGAAAAAATTGGTTAAAAAAGGGGAAAAATGGATCATTTTTTCGCTCTGAAGTTGAAAATTTATCCAGGATGGATTCTATTTTGAGGTCAGATGCGTACTCAGCAACTCAAAATACATAAAGCCCGATGTCCACGATGCTAGAAATTGGTCCGAGATCTCGGACAGAGAAAAAATTAACAAATCATATTTGAACAATTTGATCACATAATCATTGCGATTGATCAATTCTTTCTTCATCCGACGTCTCAGACTGATTTCTAGCATCGTGGACACAAGGCTTAAGAATAGCTGGATCCCCAGCACAGGATACTTTTTTTGTGGGCCTGTGTAATTAACACTTTAAAATCTGTATGTAACAGAGTTAGAACGTATTGGTCATACATGGTGATAAAGCCTTATGCAGAAGTTCACGAACCAGGCATTGAATTTGGACTTACTTACTTTGATGATCCTGGTGTCTCTATACCATCTGCTGTCACTGCATGGGTAGCATTGAGAGGTTTGTCACAAATTATAAAATCAATTATGAATTTTTTTTAATGCATTTGTAATAATTAATTATGACGATTGCCTTAGGTTTACCAGACTTTCTAATTCGCATGAGACAGGCTTCAAAGGATTACCAAAAATATAAACTGATGAAAAAAAATGCATCTGACAGTAATCATCTTACTTTATCTGAAGAAGACGTTTCCAAACAGCAAATCGATGTAGAAGATAAGTTAAAGAACAATAAAAAATTGATGAAAGATCATAAAGATCAACAAGACGATTCTACTAACGATACTAACAAGTTAGATTTAACACACGATGTACAGCAAGAAAATGACTTGGCAGAAAGTGAAAATAAGGATACCACTTCTGCACCCAAAGAAGAGCAAGGTTTATTACATTATTTCTATCTTACGAAATTATTTGCATTTTTGAATTTTTGACAAATGGATTTAATGAAGTAACTTTTGGCTAGTATAGATGTTTAAACGTGATTTCGCATGGAGGAAACAATCTGCCGATAAAGGTATAGAACAGATTCATGGATGTGTGGAACAAGTGACATTTTATTAACATATCTTGAGAGATATATGATTTCATAGATAATAAGAATGAAATTGTGTGAATATGACAATTGTTCATCCCCTTTTTTTGGAAAAGTATGAGTTCCATTTTTATTTATAAAGCGAAGAAACAAAAATATTAAAGAAATGAGACTGATTAGGTATGTCATCGCCTTTAGTCCATTTGTTAATCAAAAATTTGCATTATGTATCGTAAGATAATGAACAAAAGCAAAAGATAATCTGATTTTTAGATTATGGAAAGATGATATGTGAGAAACTGCTTAAATTTTATAATTTATATAGTATAAAGATATCTGTACAAAATAAATTTAATTAATTGTATATCTAAACCCATAAGATATATTTGTATATATTTGTGCAATAACTAAAAAGTATGGCTGAATTTAGGGGCATTCCTCACACATAGAGGATGAATACATAGTATATGATCATTCATTTCTTTTTTAATCTATTTATACGAATTAATTTATTTTTCATAAATAATACTAGACAAGTAAAACTTGACTTTTTTTGCAAATGTGAATAGTCATCTCCAATGTATTTTTATTTGCTAAACACGAATCCGTTATTTAAACTGCATGTATCATAAGTTGCATGACATATTGATGTGATATATAAAAACATGTCGGTGAGCTGGAGAAACAGCGATCTCTAGTGACTTCGTCGGAATTTGGGCTTTCTTTGTGAAAATGAAATTCAGATATTTCAAATTATAAAATATCAATTTTACTTAAAGCACAATAAGATATATGGAAGATTTTATGATTTATTTTGTTTTCATATTTATATTAAACACATTTTTAAGTCAATTTGTGTACGACGGCTTTAATATATTCTAGTGCGTACTGAGTATATTCAATCGAATTCGCTATTATTATTTAGTTATCAATTCTTCTCTCTCATCTGAGAATTTACTTCATTTGATAGTGTTTCAGAAATAATTCAGTAAGATTGCATTTCCGAACTTATGTTCGTGTAACATATTTTTATCGTCTAGGTGTGAAAAATGTACTTTTAAAGTTTGGCCATTTAATTTGTATATATAAAATCTTTTAATTTATATATATATACACACACACACACACATACCTTGTATGTTATATTGTCTCTCTGTATGTAAATATAGGTAGACGACACAAATAGGATATTTAACTCTTTGTGTGTAATAAATATAAACGTCATAAATTCACACCAACAAAGAATCAGTGCAGATATTTCAAATTATAAAATATCTATTTTTCTCTAATGCTACATTTTTGTCAAATTTTTATTGTAGATATATAATCTATTCTTATACAATTAATTTTTTCTGGCAATATATAAACACATCGGTTTTTAAAGAGTTTATAAAAATTTTTCTCTATTCTTGATTTTACATTCAAGAAACATTAGCATTTTTTGAAATTGTGGCTGAAGTTATAAATAAACTTTAATTTTCGTGCGAGATATAAAATATGTAAATGTATATATTAGTATACAAATATATTTTAAGTGTTTTTTATTATATATATAATTACATATATGTGTAATGTAAATACATATAAATATATATGATATATTTATATATAATATATATTTATATACTGCATATATGAAAATATTATTGTGACATTTTTAAAATTGTATAAGGAATAATCATAGAGAAAAAATACAAGAGTAATAAATTTCATTAGAGAATGTGATGTAAATAAATTATATATTAATCATGATGTTAATAATAAATAATATATCATTATTTATCTATTTCTTGTAAATTGTTTGTAAAATATTTACATATCACTTTTTATCGTTTTTTAATGTATAAGTACAGAGGATATTATACATAGAAAGAAGTGCTAAAAATAAATTTATCGAGTATAAAAAATGGTTCGTTTTCGTGCGAAGTCGCTGTTCTAAAATCTAGGATGATTTGTGATCTGAAATTTGTGGTCCTGCGATCTGTAGTTAAATGACATCTTGCAAAAGACGATTGCGCCCGTGAATGTGTGACATGTAAGTAAGTGATGTAGGACGCGGTGGGGGTTGGCAGTTGGCTTCACAAAGGCACAAAGTGTAGTGTAGTGGAATAAAGCGGAGTGAAGCGGTACTGCGATCGGCCGGTCGGCGGCGACAGTGACGGGAGCAGCGTCGTGCAGTGCGGTCGATCGTGTTTCGTTTCTTCGGCGGGGAAGAACGATCGGCAGCTTTCGTTCGACGTTTACACCGTCACAGCGATTCCCAGCTGGATCGCGCACTCCGTTCCGAGACACGAAAGTTTCTCGCGGAATTTTTCTATTTTTGGAAGACTGGTGAAAAGAAAATGCTTTTCATCATTGGCACGCACGCTAAACACTGAACACGCAAGACACTGTCTCGTTCACTATCGACTTGTTCCTCAGAATCTCCGATTTCTGACACCGAAGGAGAGCGAGTCTCAGCACGTAAGTTTCAGCACGCTGAGCCCGGAACATTGGAGAACTGAAGCGATTCAGGTTTGTCAAACCTGTTTCAAGGTCGCGCGATTTTCCCAAGCGAGAATTTTAAATGACTTTCGCCCGGCCATCCCGTTCTGTTTAGATCTACGATTCCCTTTTTTTTTTTTTTCGAGTGAGTCAGAGAGAAGAATCTTAAATGAACCATTTCCTGTATAATATTTTTTGTACATTTTTTAAATTGTAATGATTATTTATTTCTTCAGTTCGTCAACTTTCAAGTTAGCCATTTGATCGCTGCTTTAATTAATTTTGTTCTAATTTATATCTAATTAGTTTCTTATAAGCAGCTCCTAGGAGTAACATCAAAATAAAATTAGAAATTTAGAATTGTTTCCTATATATATTTTTTTTAAATTACAGTATTTCTTTTACTGTAATGACCTTGTGTTTACTTCGTTAGTTTATCAACTTCAAAATTAGCCACTATGTATGCGATTAGACGAAGTGCACTTTTTGCGACGTAGGCATTCGCGATTTCCGCGCAAAAAGGAAAGAAAGGGACAAAAGAAGAAACGGTTATCAATTCAATAATAGCTCGTTTCAGTTTGTGCTTGAATCGGTAGTCCAATAGCATATTATGAATAATCAACGCTGTTCGCAATTGCAGAGCGCAAGATCGCTAGGAGCTAATAGCGAATTCGATTACTCGCATTACAGCAAATTAGTGCATACTAAAAGCTATTTTGTATAAAATTAATAAAATTAAATGGAGAAGCAAAATATAAATATTTTGAGCAATTAAATAGCCAATAATATTGTCACGTTATTTAACAGAATATTATTTTATTTTCAAATTTGATTAATTTGTAATAAACAAGACATTATTAGAAACAAGATTGTAAATTAATTAAGAGAATCACCACTTATAATTAAAATTGATATAATACATTTATTGGAATAATATATTTATTTAAATAAATTTATCTCAGATATATGATTGTGTGCCGATTACTTTTCGTACCTGCGACGCAATTAATAATAATTAATTAAATTATGTCACTGCATTTAGATGCTTTACGTGCATTAATCCAGTGTAATACGAGTGACTAAATTCATTATATAAGTATTGCTTTCAAAGTGTCGAAAATATGTGAGATATGTTTCTTTTCTTTTGTCTGAGGCATCTGAGGCAGTGATATCCGTGCGGAATGTACCTTCGCTATTTCAACAATCTGCTTTCGAACGACTATGCATGTATCTTTATCTCGTAATATGACTCTACGCTCCGTCGAGATAACTTGCTTGTTAACATAAAATGAAAATGTGTCGAGCCATTTATCGCCTAAGTATATGCTACAGTAATGTTGTTATCCAAAGAGCAAATCTATTTATTTTAATTATTTATATGCGAGATTGTTCGTTGATTTTATCATGGCAATTATGTATATATGCTAGTGATTATGTCGTTCCTATATCTTTCTCATTTTTATATAGTGGAAACTTGTCATTAAATAAAAAATACAACAGCAATCATAATCATTGATCAGAAGAAAGTATCTGACCAGAAAATGCTGCAGAAAATATGGCAATGATATTATAGTGTGAATAATGATATTTTATCAATTCATTGACTTTAATGGTTAAATTTGATATTGATGATGGACAGAGAAAAACGACAGAAAATATTATAACTGCAAGGTTACCATAGATCTGAAAAACCGGGAAAAGTCATGGAAATTTACAACCGATTATGGAAAATCCGAAAATTCAGGGAAAATTATAAAAGAATCTGGAGTTTTTTTTAGAGCTTTCCTCAATTCTTTTAAAATGCTTTTATTCTAAACAATTGTTATAATTTTTTAAATAATGTATCTAACATTTATAGTCAAATGATACTGATTTTTGTAGCCATTATTGCAAACTATATACTAAGCCATACATCAATCATTATGTTAAATAAAATGTAATTATTCCTTTTTTAGATATAGAAATTAAATATTATAATGTCAAGTTTATTTCTTGTTTTAATTTCTATATAGTTTAATTTTAACGTAACTTAGTTCACTTAATTAAACTTTGTTTACAATTACAAGATACAAATTTTATTAAATCTAAAATAATAATTAAAAAAAATATATAT